TTTTCAACCCTTTTAGCGACAAAAGGGAAGAAACTTATGCCACGTACGAGGCAGATCCCTGGTAAAGGAGCTACCGTAGTCAGGCATGAACGATATCAAAGGTACGGTATCGAAATATCTAGCATACTTTAAATGTATATTTTAAAACACACACACACAGACACACACACACGCACACACATTTATATAAGTATATAAAATATTTATGGTCTGCAGAATTGTATTAGGCACTATTTTTTTAAAATAAATAATTAATAAGAACTCCGAATTATAAATCTTACTCTTTCTTTTCTTTTATATATATATATATATATATATATATATATATATATATATATATATATATATATAGTCTTAATTGTATAAAAATAAAAATCACACTTTGCAGATCATTTGTGCATATATATATTTTCTACACAGACAATATTCGTTCTTTATTCATTTTCTTTCTCTCTCTCTCTCTCTCTCTCTCTCTACACACACACACACACATATATATATATATATATATATATATATATATATATATATATATATATATATATTAATAAATATACATATTAACCCCTGCTATAATATATCGACTGCGCTAACAGTGCCCTAGGCAGATATTGTTATTAAAATTTAAATTATGTAACGGTCAGTCTCCACCCAGCATCTGAAGATTGTTTTGGTCCTGAAACTCCGAGACTTATTAATATAAACTTAATAGCTCTGTTATATTACATCTAGCCCTGTTTTATTAAGATAACCACTTATCCGCAATATATATATATATATATATATATATATATATATATATATATATATATATAGATAGATAGATAGATAGATAAATAGATAGATAGATAGTGAGAGAGATAGAGAGAAAGAAGAGGGGAAGTTTATATATTTAAACAAACATTTCCAGTGACATGTACACATATTAAAGTCCCGTGCATATATTTAGGCAGAATTTAAAATGCGTATTTTATTCTATTATATTGCATAAAAATACATATAGAGAATGTGCGCACACACAAACACACACATATATATGCATGTATTTATGTACGCACAACACACACACATATATATATATATATATATATATATATATATATATATATATATATATATATATATATATTATATCATTTAATTTTCTCCTTACATTTTACCCTGAAACGGTTTGTTTGCTTAAGCCAGAATATTTTTAACCTTTCTCCTCTCAATTCCAGAATTGAATCATTTCTTTCGGCGTTTAATTCCACATCATTATAGCAACGCAGCCGAAAGGTTCGATTAATGTTCAATTACTTAATCAACCCTTTTAATTCGTTATGGAATTTACGACGCTTTGTTTTCAGAAAACAATAACCTACTTCCTTAAATCCCAAGCCGATAGCTCACTGGTTTAAGTGTAAAGATGCCACTCATTAGACATTGAATTCATTTAATATTTTTTTTAGGGCCAATGATTTTGCAGCTTTTTCGATTCACTGAATTTTACGAGCTCTTTATGAAATCTCGAATTCTTTCATACATGTCTGCAAGTGATACTGAAGAATATATTTTTATTCATTATTTTCATGATTTACATATGGGCTAATGTCATCATTGTTGTTATCACAATGTTTCTGACATTGTGCATATCGGCTTTATAACGAAATTAGTATTAAGCGATAAGGAAACGAATCATTGAATACGCTTGTACCAGAGGAAATGTCGCCAAACCCCACAAATTGCTTCAAAATGTCAACCTGAAAACTCGAGTTATGCTCTTAATTATTCAGATCCAGACTTTCATATAGATGTCGTGTATGGTAACAAAGTCATTGAAAAATCTATAAACTCTCAACTGTAGGCAACCGCTTTTTAAGATCAATTATTAAAAATGAGTCTTGACAAAGAGTATTCTTCTTTGAACTTTGTGATCTGGCCTCTAAATGATCGTAAAAAAAAGAACTGAACTAAATAACAAAAACAATCGCTTGAGGGCTTCCAACAGCACCAACAACTAAAATGTACTGCATATTGTTATATCCTGTACCTATAAACACTAATGGGTATATCCCAGTCTTCATAAATACGCCGGACACTATTATAAGTTAGTGTAATATGCTGTCTAAGTGGTTCACCTACTTCACGCCGCTGGTGAGTATTGTATTTTGCTGATGTTATAAAGATTACTATTTCATTTCAAACGTCCATTTTGGTTATTCCTCATTTAGTAACCCGTTCTAGGTTACAGCATATATGTCACTGGAAAAGATAATAATGGCAGACTCAATATGCTGACATTACACACTACTCGAACGAAAAGATTAGGAAGGATACCTTCATCAATACAGGAAAGGACGATAACAGTTACTGGTCTTGAGAAACATATTTGCTGAAGAATTGTTTTAAATTGAAAGATTTTATAAATTTTAACCAATATTAGCACTTGCTGTTCGGTCAATGCCGAATGTTTCCTCATAAGGACAAGATTAATATCACCATTAACATTTATTACTACATTGTGTATAAAATCTTTTTTCAAAATGGTGGCTGAAAATTTGTTCAAAAAGGTGGATCAGTTATTCACATGAACGACATGATTATATTTTTTATCTCCATTATTGTCATCTCTAACACACGTTCTTCCCTCAAGAATATGGAATGATTTCCAAACATTTATGGTTACATGGTATTTTCTTTGAGAAACCATTTCTTCCTAGTGTGTTTGTTTTACTCGAATCACCTGTCGCTGATTATCTACCCACCTAAAAACCAAAACATTAACCTGAAAACTCGAGTCATCTTCTTGAACATCCTCGTCAAATCGAACCTTTTGCATGGTGCCAAAACCGTCCAGACATATCTAAACAGTCAGTTGTATTCAACTGTTTTGTAAATCACTGTTAAAATTTGCTTTGAGCTAGCGAAGCCTGAGAGGCAAAGGATATTCTTCTTTGCACATTGAGGACTGGCGCTATAGAAACACAAAGAACTGCACCAAATAACAGAAATCACATCACTTGAGAAGTACCAATATAGTCAACATGGATAACACACGTGACAAGGAGAAAACATAATGACATAATCAACATTTTGGTATTACGCAATACTAGATTAAATAAAAGATTAGGAAGGAAACCTCGGTCAATACTAGAAAAAGCGATGACAGCTACGGATCTTGAGAAATTAATTTTCCTGAAAAAAATTATCTAAGAGAAAGATTTATAAATTTCATCCGAAAGCAGTACTGACCTCGCTGTCAATGAATATCAAAAGTTTGCTTAACGGTTAATAATAATAGAATTATAATTACAGTGAAAACTAAGCCAGCATGCATAAACTACAAGAGTTTTCAGGTTAATGCAAGGTCGTCAGTAAAAGGAGGAACCCAAAACGCGATTTGAAAGTCGGGGACACTAAAATCAAACAGGTACGGAAGTTTAAATATCTGGGAAGTGTTTTAAGAGAGGGCGACAAGTGTGACACTGAGATCCGTAAGTAAACGTATTGGGATAGCCAAGGACGTATTCCAAAAGCTGGGCAGAGTTACTGCGAGACAGGGGTATCTCTTTGCTAACAAAGAAAAGAGTACTGAGCTTTTACGTGACATCTGCCCTCCTTTACGGCAGCGAATGTTGGACGGTCTCCTCAAAGATGAAGAAGAGACTCGAGGTGACTGAGATATGTTTCTACAGAAGGATGCTAAGGATATCATGGACCGAGCGGGTGGGCAACGATAAGGTCTTAGAGAGGATGCAAACAAGGAGGAGGCTTATACATCAGGAAGCGGAAGTTTCTGGGTCACGTAATGAGAAAGGAGAGCCTGGAGAATCTGATACTCATGGGTCGAATAGAGGGAAAGAAAGACAAGGGAAAGCAATGCATCACATATCAAGCGGGCTTAAGCAAGTGGAGGACAGAATGTGGTCTGGAGGAGGTGACAGAGATACGAAACTTATTGATAGCTACAATGGATAGGGTGAAGTGGAGAGCCATGATCGCCTACGTCCCGAAAGGACACGGCACATAAAAATGACTACGAACAGATTGTTCCCGCGAACCAATTCTTTGTGAAACAGACTCCCAAGAAGATCTTTACCAGATCACTAC